CACTCTGCACACATGTTCTTATTCCTTGTCTGCTTTCCCCAGGCTGCTCCCTTTCTGGTGTATCCAGTCCTATTAAATTCCCTACTTCTTTCTCTGACTTCTGTCAAGCTTTTGTGCATTGCCTCTTCCTTTTATTATGCAGTGCTTCCTTCTGTTTGCTTCCTTCAGTTCTGATCAGAAAATTACTTCTAGAAAATTACCCAATTTTTATTCTGTGGAGTACATCTCACCTGTAGAACATCCTCTGAGCTGCCACCACCAATGCTTGGTTCTGTACCTCTTACCAAGCTATGAAGGACAGCAGTTACTTTTCTTCACCCTCAGTAGGAAACTCCCAGAAGAAAGTCTTGTATTCTCCCGAAGTTACAGCAGTTCCTCCACTCCCAAATAGGATGACTAGATACCAAGCTTAAAAAATCAAGACAGGATAGACAATAATAGATGTCTGTAAAAGACAAAGTCCTGAATATCAGGACTGTCTCTATAAAATCAAAAGCTTCAGAGGGGTAGCCGAGTTAGTCTGTACAGGATAAACTTTAAAAAAAAAACCCAAGTAGTCTGGTAGCATTTTAAAGACTAACAAAACATGTAGATGGTATCATGAGCTTTCATGGTCCCAATAATTGGAGTGGGACACGGAGTGGGACACGGAGGAGAAATATTTAGCGTCACTTGCACAGAATGCTGAAAGTGCAATCTTACAGAGGTTTGTTGTGGTAACAGTACTCCCAAAATGCTTTGTTCTTTGCAGTTATCTGCTCTACCTCTTGTTTTGAGAAGAATATGTTCATGTACGTGTCTTCAAATTCTAAAACTTTTCACGCTTTTTCCAGTTGTCATAAACTTTAATCCCAGTTTGCTTTAAAATCAGACAAGGATACGTATAGTTAATTTTCATTGGTCCATTTTAACCTGCACTCCTTATCAGTTTCTGCATGAATATCAGCAACATCTTGTTCCTTCAACTTTTTATTTGAAGTGTCACATGTTTTCTTCCCCCGACTCTCCTCCCACCCTAGTGTTTCTTTACATGTTTTAATTTATTCTTTTTCACTTTAACTGGTAGATCTCCCACTACTTTGATTTTACAGTGCTGTGCATTTTAGTTTATTGTTGCTTCCACAGTTCATTTGAGTGCAGTGATGTGATTTTTTTTTTCCTAAAAAAGTTTCAGTTTCTGTTTGTTGCACCATGCAGCTGAAAGATATTTTACCTGTAAATCACCTTCTCTGTTTTGTGCATGTGGAGAACTAAAGTCATGCTTCCAATAAGTGATTTTTTTTATCAATTCTAATTAAATGATTAATTTATATTTATGTACTTTATTGTTTAAATACTAATAATGTGCTCTGTGCTATACAAGACTGGCCCTACCTAGACGCATTAAGAGATCAGAGTTAGTGTTATCTTAAAAGGTTATTGTTTTTTTCATACCCGATGTCTTCATTTGGCGCCCCCCCGTTATGTAATATTGAGGTAATGAAGGGATTTGATTGATGAATTAAAGCAGGGGCAGGGAACCTAAGGCCTGGGGGTGGGATGTGGCCCCTGGCTTGCCTGGATCTGACCCCTGAAGCTCAGGGCTTCTCCCCCCCCCCAGTATTGGGAAGCCTGCACAGGCACTCCAGCCCCCCGCCGCCCCACCATGGGGCTAGAGCACACAAAATACACTGTGGATCAGCAGCCATTGACCCATAAAAGGTACCCCACTCCTGAATTAAAGCTTGAAGCTTTTGCAAAAATACTGTGTCTTTAAAATAATTTCTGATAAGGAGAAGATGGGAATCTGATATGCTGGGAAACGAAGATCAATCCAAGCTTAGAAAGCAGCATGGAAGGAGCCACAAAGACTGGAATGGGCAAAGAGGGTAGGGGTAAGGCGAGAGAAATGATATAAAATGTAGGTATGGTGAGGTATCTCTTGGGGGAAAGTCATTACACCCATTGGTATTTATAATGTCTATTATCTATACTGCTGCTGAATTGCTTTTCTTCCCCTCATATTCTCACAATCGGACATTGCCAGGACTAGTATAACTACTGTTAGTCTAACTGAAAGGGAAATAATAAAGAACCTTGTACAGAGTTCAGTGTGATCACTGAAATGTGGGGAACAGCACTTTTAGCTTGAGCTGGGAGACCAGCTGCTCTGTTGTAGTTGAAGGGCTAGTGGTTCCCAGCAATATGTTAGACTGCACTAGCATGTGTGGAGAGAGTATGAAAACATTCTTCAAAGTCATACAGTGTTACTCAGCCAGTCTCAGATCTACTTGGCATTTCCCATTTCCAGCTGTCCTCAGAGCACCTGAGGTGTTCATCTGGTGTCTGCGTTCTGATGGGACAGAGCCAAAAAACATGTAGATTATTATTCAGTTGGTCTTGGCTCTCCTGAAAAAAATGTCTCAAATAATAAATTGAATGCATTAATTATAATTATGTTTAAGTTTTTTTAATCAGAGAACTTTTACATTTAAAAAATGTAATTTGCTCTAGTACCGAAATGCTGCTGGTCTCCTGTTCCAAATGGGGGAAAGTTCAGCAAAAATGAACACCACTATCACTAGGGAATGGGTATGCTTCCAGATGTGATAAATCTATGCATTCACAATGAATAAAGAAGCTCCTTGGATAGGGTTACTCATAAGTTTCTGCAGAAACTTTCAATTTTCATGTATAATACAATTGGGAATATAACCTTCTAAATGTGCTGGAATGCAATACTGCCAGGAGTTCAGAAATCCTGAGAATGAGTTAAAAACACAAGATTAAAAATTAATTCTTTTTTATCCTTTTGGGTCAGTTTTCAAAGTCTTCAGAGTATTTAACATGTAGAAGAATCCTCCTCCTCCATCAACTGCATTTGATAATTTTTGGTTGGAAAATTCAACCATAAATGCCTAAATACAAATGTAGGCTGCCTTTACATCTTTGGCAAGGGATCCCTCTTATTCCTTTCTAATCCCTCAGCTGTGGAAGCAACAGTTTTTACACATGCATCTTGCTAGAGAAGTTCTAGTAGTTTTAGTAGAGTAACTGTAGTTGCTGAGTCTGGGTGTGCAGCACATCCAAAAACAGTCCTTGAAAGGGTGTGGCTTCTATTAGAGGGAAAGAACTCTTGACTGAAGTAACTGAGAGGAAGTTCAGGAACTGAGTGCTCTTTGACCAGGGAGATGGTGAAATTGATTTTGAGTCAGCAGTAGGAAGGAGCAGCTTTTATATCCTCTTCCAATAATAAATACATGTTCTGTTATTCATTGAACTCATACCTGGATGGTTGTTCTGAGAACTCTTTTTGATGCTAACCCAATGAAAAGGAGATTTTGTCATGTGACAATTGGTTGTGCAGCATTTCATTTACCTTTTATTGCAGAATAATTTGAGGTCTGAAAAACATGCTGAGAGCGAGAGATTTAAGAGGTTCAATTAACTTAATGTATCCAAGTAAAGGTTATGGTGACTTGCTTATAGTCTGCAAACATCTACATGGATAAGAAACAAATGATAGTAGTTGATTGATTAATACTGGCAAAAACAAGCATAATGAGATCCAATGGTTGCATGCTGAAGATAGACAAATTCAAACAAGAAAAAAATACAGATTTTTAACGAGGATAATGAACAGATAGAACAACTTTACTAGGGACATGGTAGATTCTCCATCACTTGAAGGCTTTATGTGAAGACTGGATATCTTTCTGAAAGATATGATCTAGTGCAAACAGAAGTTAGGGTTTGATATGGAAATTATTAGATGAGGTTCTGTGGTATGTGTCATGCAGGAAGTCAGGTCACTAAATCATGATGGCGCCTTCTAACCTTAAAATCTATTAATTTACAATAAAATAAATGTGACATGCTGGTGGGCAGAGCCGGTTTGATTTTTGTTGTTACAGTGAATCTGGAAAGGCAGTCTCTCACAAAAAGAGCCACTGTACAGCTGTAAGTTTAATGCAGTATGCTTTGCTGATAGAGGCAGCAGTGTGGGGGAGGAGGCAGGCAGCACCACAGAGCCAGTGCTGGGTGGGAGCCAGCTTTTAAGCCAGCTCCCCACAGCACCAGCTCATGCTCCTCCCCTCCTTCTCCCCCCCTCCCCCCCGCTTGCTGCCTCTGATACAGAGGCAGCAAGGGGGGAGAAATGTGAGTAGTGGATTAAATTAACCATTAAGCCTAGGCTTAGTAGTTAATCAACTACAGGCAGTCCCCGGGTTACATGGATCCGACTTACATCGGATCCCAACTTACAAACGGGGTGAGGCAACCCTGCACTAGCTGCTTCCCCCCAGCAGACCAGGGAGACGCGGAGCGGCTTTTCTCAGCAGACACCTCAGCTTGAGAATAAAGGACTGAGGGAAGTGAGGTGTGGGAGAATAAAACTGAGCTCTGGAGAAACGTTTGGCTAGAGTTTCCCCTACAATATGTACCAGTTCTGACTTACATACAAATTCAACTTAAGAACAAACCTACAGTCCCTATCTTGTACGTAACCCAGGGACTGCCTGTACTCGTTCACATCCCTAACTTTGGGGCTGCTGGCTGGGAGCTGCTTAGGTAAGCCAAAGCCTGTTAAAGGCACCTCACTCCCTCCCATATTTTAACTTCCTCCCAGACTCTGCACCCCTTCCTGTGCTCCTCCACCGGGCAAGAATCCTTTCCTGCACCTCAATATCCTGCCCCAGGTAAAGCCCCCTCCTTAACCCAAACTCTGTCTCAGACTTGACACCCTCTCCATCATCCCAGTCACCTACCCCAAGCTCCCTTCTTCATCCAACCTCCATCTCAGTCCCTACATTCTCTCCATAGAAAAGTGCATCCCTTCACCATTTACCAAAATCTTGAAGTGGCCCCCCAACAAACTATTACCCAGCTCTGGTTTAGTGACTGGTGGTGCGTAGTTGAGTATTAAACCTCAGTTTTTGGCATGTCAGAAGTGAAAGTGATTGTGGAATTGTCTTATTCATCAACTTGAATTTTGAAACAAGTATGTAACTTATATGTTTTAGGTTATTGAAGTATGAAGAAGCACTCACTTCATTGTGATATGGACAGCACAAAGAAAATTGGTAACACTGATGATGATGATGGATTTCTCCTTAGAATGGGCCTCAATGATAACAAGGCTGGAATGCAAGGACTGGATAAAGAGAAAATAAATAAAATCATAATGGAAGCCACAAAGGTTCGTTTTGTATAATATTTTCCATTAGGGTTTTGCTTTTTACTTATTTATTTTTTAGTTTTGCATGCATAAATGGCAGCAACCTCCTGTGTTCTGTATGTGGGTGACACAGGAAATATTATTTTTCATCACCCTCCTCACAAACAACGGGGACTCTGCCAGAAAAGTTAATATGGTTTGCTGTTGTATACATTTTTTTTAGTAGAACTGCTCTGGGCTGACTACACTTCCTTATTAGGGTGTGTCCCAGGAGGACGCAACCAGTGGTGCAGTTCCCATCAACAACTATTTTGGAGCTTGAGAGGTGCCCTCAAATCTATGGGGTTTTCAGATTCTTCCCATCAGGGACTCTAGGGATAAGTGAGCAAGTATAACCTCTCAGAATTTCCTCTACTTCTTACACAGCCTTTAATTACAAGAGGGGTCCTTCTGGCCCTAGATTTGTTGTTAAACATTTATGGTAAATTAATAACTGCCATGTTCTTGCTTTATGGAAGAGCTAATACTTTGGAAAATATATCATTAAAACAATTCTGCTATTGCAGACTGTTTGTGTATCCAATGCTAAGGATATTTGCATGAAACAAAGAGTTTAGTTTTTCATATATTTTATCTGATCTTACTGTTCAGCACTTCCTCAAACTGTATTCCTTTGTTAGAGACATCAATATGGTATTTATAGAAATAATTCCTGCAAAACTGCTACAGCTGCTGCCATTGTATTGAGAGAGATGGAGCTAAATTCATGATAGATTTTGAAAATTGTCAGATGAGAACAAGTCTCATGCCTTTTAAAAGCTACATTTTTGGGGAATAAGACCAACAAACTGTACAGTATCAAGTGTATATAGCTGTGGATTCTGGTATGGAATTCTACCATATCTCTTCCCTTTCAACCCCTCCGAAAACAAACAAAACCCTTGTAAAGATGATTACTACTGTGAAGAGGTACACAAAATATATAAGGGAACCGAACTTTGATAGTTGCTTGCTAGAAGTTTCAGCCGCTCTGCCCTGGGCTTCCTGGAATCAGCCGCTGATCAGTTTCAACAGCGGCTGAATTTGGATGCCTGGGACAGAGCAGCTGGGACGCTGCCGGGTAGGTCCCCGCAGCGCCGCACCTCAGCACTGCGGGGACCAACCCGGCAGCACCCCAGCTGCTCTATCCCAGGTGTCCCCAAGTCAGCCGCCAGCTGATCCCGGGTTCCGTGGAAATGCTGCACTGGAGCCCAGGATCATCTGGGGAGTCCCCAACTGACCCCAGGCTCCATGCACACAGCACTGCACAGAGCCTGGGATCAGCTGGGGAGTCCGCAGCTGACGCCGGCTCTGCATGGCATTTCAAAGCAGCAGCACAGCATGGAGCCAGGGGTCAGCGGGAGAGTCTGAGTTCCCCGCTGACCCTGGGTTCCAGCTGCGTTGCCACTTTGAAATCCACAAGAGCCCTCACTGGGAATCTTGTGCATTTCAAAGCTGGCACCCGTGTACATCTCGGAGTCAGCAGGACTTCCCACTAGCCCAGGGCTGCACGCAGAATTCTGTACAAGAGCCCCACTGCAGAAGTGCCTATAGACTAGTTGAGTAGCCGATTGAAATTCCATCAACTAGTCGACTAGTCAATTAACTTCTAATTAACATCCTTAGTGTAGATATGGCCTTAGAGACTAACAAAAATATATATAATTATCATGAGCTTTTGAAGTGTGTTTTGCCTATGAACACTCATGACACTATATATATATATATATATATATATATATTAAATCTCCTTAAAATATATAGACACCAAAACATAAGGCTATATCTGCTTCTCTAATAGGATTGGAAACAACTGTCCATTTTATTTCAGTGAAGGTTTTTTCCATTTAAATAAGTCGTTAGCAGATAAAATGCATCTTCCTTTATTCTTTAGTTATTGTAAAGATTATAAGGAAATGACTTTCAAATGTATTATATATATTAAATCTCCTTAAAATATATAGACACCAAAACATAAGGCTATATCTGCTTCTCTAATAGGATTGGAAACAACTGTCCATTTTATTTCAGTGAAGGTTTTTTCCATTTAAATAAGTCGTTAGCAGATAAAATGCATCTTCCTTTATTCTTTAGTTATTGTAAAGATTATAAGGAAATGACTTTCAAATGTATGTTAACTTTTTATTTTCTGGTAGGGTTCTAGGTTTTATGAAAATGAACTTAAGAAAGATCAGCAAGTTAACCAACGAATTGAAAAAATGATGCAGCTAAAAGATAAAATTACCAGCCAACAGCTTTTGAAAGCACAACTGCAGGTACTAACCAGTTTGGGAAGTGTTTAGAGTGGAGACAGAATATTCATTTTTAGGGGTATATTATTGATACTTGTCCTAAAATTTCAAAGTGGTGCACAAGTTGTTAGTTGCCTGATTCCATTTGATATTAATAATAGTGCAGCTAAAACCTGCGTAACATTTTGATTATACAAATTTATATTTAGTGAATAGAGGAACATTTAAATAGCTAATAAGACTCTTGATTTGAAGTGTTCCTTACCTGAACAAAATGGAACTAAAACAAGAACTCCTTTTCCCCCAATGGTGAAAACATCTAATCAAATAATAAATTAAGTCCAATACTCATGATCAGTTTTCCCTCTAGTAGCTGCAGTGCTCTGCTGCTGCTCAGCGTAATGAGTCCCACCCAGCCACGGGCTCAGTACTTGTGCATGGAGCTGCTTGGTGTGGGAAGGAGCGCTTCTCCCTCAGTGACAGCAGCATCTCTTGCGAGGACAGAGCAGCGCATCTCTCCCAACCCATAGGGACACATCCCCTCCCTGCCAGCTGGGAGAGACTCCTTGCTATGCCCTCAGCAGGGAGCTGCTGCTATAGCTGAGGGAGAAATGCCTCTCCCCTAGAGAGGTAGCTCCATGAGTCCTGAGTCCCTGGCTGGGTGGGACTCATTAAGCAGCTGTGGGGTTGTGTTGCCACGTAGCTTAGAAGGAACACTGCTCATAATGCACTCCTCTGAAACTCATTTATTTTCTTAACAAATACCAGAGCAGTCATTTTGGTTTAAACATTTTGTGTGTATTTTTTTTAAGGTCCTGTTTTATTCATGTACTGTATTGTTTAAGATGGCTTATAGTGCTAAGGAAAAATTTAACTAGGATTATCCTATTATTTATGCTGCTGATTTATCTATCTTTGCATGCTACCTACTTTGATAGTGTCATGGCAATTTTCAAAGTTTTACAAATAAAAAATCTGGGCAAAGAGTCATATTGCTTACAATAGAAAAATTGGTTTCCTTTATTATTAGGGTGTTGGTAATGGACCCTCATGTACAGTGGAAGGAAATAAAGGCTGAGAAAGCTATGCATGCAAGAAACAGAGTTATTTATGAAAATGTTTCTCTTTTTCAAAAGAAGCATTTTTACATAGGTATTCAAGTACAGCACTGATGGACAGTGTTATCAGAAACTAGATAGCACTGCATACAAAAATCACATTAAAAGAACATTGATGTTGCTAAGTCAAACATCTTAATTTGTCTTTCTTTACATGCAGTATGATTTGATCTAAAATTACGTGATTGCATACTATTTTTTTCAACGTGACCCCTGCCTCACTCTGTGCACAGGATAGACAGAATTCCCTGTATGAGCAGCTGTTTAATTTTATCTTTGTTGTTCAGTATGTGGTCCCATATCTTGTTTACCATATGCTAGTCTAACTTAGCTCCGGTTATAGAATTATTAATTTCCTCAGTTTTTTTCCATGGCTCTCATCACTATAATATGTGTTACTTCACAAACATTAATGAATTTATTTTCCCAACACACATCGTGTCAGGTCATATTATATTTGTATTAGAGAGTTTGTGTATCTGTTGGTCTGTCTATGAGTTCATCTGTGGGAAAGAAGGTCCACCAGCTGAAGCAGGATGGCAGCCAAGAGCGGAGCCCTGTCAGCAGCCGTGGGAAGCACAGTAGACAGGACAGTGGCCAGGAGGGGAGCCCAGGGAGACCCCAAGGCCTAACCTCCCCATGTCCAGTAAATTCCCTGCACTCCGGTCCTGAGTGTGCCAGACCAGGGAAGTCCAACCTGTACTTTCAGATATTATTTCCTTATGATCAGGAACCAGATACTCTAATCTTCTCCTCAACTTGATAAAGGGCGAGACAATTTATGTAGAATTAAGAAGTAAGGCTAGATTCATGCTTCTGTTTAACACTGTAAATTCTTATCTTCAGATCAAACCTTATCAGTAGGTAGGATGGTATAAGGAGGGCAAATGGGCTCTGTAAGGTGCTCACTAACATGACAGTTCTTTTAAAAACTTCAGAGGGGTAGCCAAGTTAGTCTGTAACAGGAAAAACTTAAACAACAGACTAAAGACTAACAAAACACATAGATGGTGTTATGAGCTTTCGTGGGCGCAACCCACTTCTTCAGATGACAGGAGTATTAGAAGTCCAGTCAATATTGATACTGTAATATGCAAGATTTCTAAAAAGCCATTTCTTTTGCTCGATAGTATCCCAATGTCGTCGGACACAGCAACATTATAAATGCATAGAATCTGCAATTTAATACTCCCTTGTCTAGCATTTTTTTGATATAGGAGAACCTGCATATGCTGTGGGACTCTGTCAGAAATGAAACATAAAGTTGCTTTAGTTTACCTTTATTTTAGACTTCTTCCTCTGCAGTTGGCTTTGGGTTAAGGAGCACTTCTTACAACAAATGCCCAAAGTAATCTCTATTATCTTTCATATACGGTACTTGTAAACCTGTCACATTTTATCTTTAATATTTTACAATATTAAATTAAACTTTAATATTTTTTTAAATAAAATCGTCAGTGCCAAAGATGGAGTTTCATATGTACAGAATGTCATTGGTTTATTAGTCAGGCCAGGTTTTCCTATATAATGCTACATGGAGTAAGGCTCCACTTCTGATAAATTGTTTATGACTGATTGAGATTAGTCTGCTCACAATGCACAAATGTCTGAAGTTCTCCAATAATCCCTGATGCGAAGGGTCAGAGCTTTATTTTTATGTTCATTTATTCGGTACTGTGATTAATTTAAAACTTGCAGAAGTATCCAGCTTCTGAATTATATTAACTGTTGCCAACAGTAAGTGTTTTCCATTTTTATGTGCTTCTAGCCTAGCTTTTAACGGAATGATATTGCTGTCTCCTTGTAGCATAGTATTACTAGTGCCTCCTAGTTTCTTTCCATTCTGTCAAATACTTTTCCAAACATAAATAGGCACAGAATTAAAGTTTTTACATTCTTACTTCATAAATGCTACTTGAGAGAAATTTTTGGCATCTATATTACATCTGTGGTCAAGAACAAGTCACAATAACTTCAATTATTTGTTTAAAAATACATATAAAAATGTAAGAATTTTAAAAGTCTAATGGCCAGATTTTCAGGTCTTTTCTCCTATAAAATATATAGGTCTTTTCCCCTATAAAATCTTCCATATCAGAATTTTCTTTTAAAAAAGGCTACACAATTTGTAAACGTATGTACATGTTTTACCTCGAAGAAGCTAGTCTTTAACCATCTTTAGTTTTAATAGGAAAATATGGCTATGGTCAAACATGATTCTCAAAAGTAACTCTACAAAGCCTTCATTTTATTATGTTTCCTTTAATGAGCTGCTGTTGCTATTTTAAACAGTCATCTTTTTAATTTGTGACTAGCTTAAAGGAGTCTCCATCTCTGTTTTTATATGGGCATAAGACACTAGTGAATCATTAGACATTGCATTACGTTAGTAATGCAGGTAGGGGAAAAACAAGTTTTGTAATAAAGACAGCATCTGGAAATGCAGATTAAATTGTGTGATTGGGAGTGTGGGAGTCAACATAAATAAAGATGATTTGCGTTTGAGAATACCCTATCCAGAGTTTGTAGAATATGAGATAATCAGAATTAACAAAGAAGAAAATAAATTAATTAGACTGTAGAGAAATGTCTTTTAACAATTTTGCATGGATTTTAACTCTTGCTTAATTAATGTTACAATAGAACTATGTAAGTCTGCTCCTGGAGGATTTAAATATAATTACTTTTTTCCCTTCTATATATTGTACCATGCTGTTTTCCGTATTTTTTTCAAATATTTCTCTGTTATTTGAACTCCTCACCTTCTACCCTTCCCACTGGTGCCTTACATTTTATACAAACCAGTTTGACTAGCCCAACTCACTGAACAAGGATATGTGCTGTGCACTGCTATGTGGAAGAACGTAATTTGATTGCACATCCTGGTCTATTAGTCTTCAAATAAATGGGCTGTGAGCAAACTAGAAGGAGCAAGAATATCATATTACTCAGTCGTGTATTCCTTTTAGCAAATAAGTTGCAGAATGAGAGCTAAATACAACTTGTATGCTTGTGGACTATTATACATACTTGCACGTATGTGTATGAATGTATAAATATGACAAACTTTTCTGCTGTTATTTTTTTGTCATGTTAGTTACATCCTTCCCCCCCACAAAACCAGTTGCTGCAAAAACAAACTTTCTCCTCTTACTATGTAAACAAGACTTTTCTTTTACGTTTGTTTGGACTGAGGCACCTTGGCCAATCTAATATATAATTGTAATTTCTGTGTTTTGTGTACCTTTTATACACTTTTTTGCACAGGTTGACAAACATGCGCTGGATCTAGAGCAGAGCCGTGATCTCAGCTGTACTATTGTGCACATTGACATGGATGCCTTTTATGCATCAGTAGAAATGAGAGACAATCCAGAGCTGAAGGAAAAACCTATAGCTGTGGGATCGATGAGTATGCTGGTAAGGTCAAATGTCAAGCTAATACCATGACCAAATAACATAACATTCAGTGAAACAAGTAACAAAGACATTAGAAAGGCATATCATAATAAACAGATGGAGAAAATATTATTTTACTGTGTAAATGTGGATATTACATTTCAAACAACTAGATAGTTTGCAAAATGTTATGTTATGAACAAGAGAAAAGTTGTTTAAAGTATATAAGCTCTTGGCCTGGTCATTTAATTCAAGGTGGAGAATTGTATGTTGAAGTCTATAGTCTATTTGTGATGTAACTTTATTTTGGTGTTAAGAGACATCTAGGCTTTATCGTAGAGCTCTGCAGGGCACCCACTGGTTGTCCAAATTATAAGGTATAGATATCAATCTTATGTATAGCTCCTATGTCAAATAAAACAATTTATTAAAATTAAATATGAAAAATATATTGATAGAGAGCCTAAGCACTTAAACTATTTAGTTTCAAATTATTTTAAACACATGACCTGTGAGCTGCACTTTGAAGTCTCATTTTTCCTTTAGTATTTATTTTTATCTAGGATTGCCAACTTTCTAATTGCAGAAAAACAAACCCCTTTTTGCCCATGCCCTTTCTCCAAGGCACTGCCCCCGGCTCACTCTATCCGCTCTCCTTCCCTCTCTTCTTCCTTTGCTTACTAACTGATTTTTGCTGGGCTGGAGCAGGGGGTTGGGTTGCAAGAGGAAGTGTGGGGCCTCTGACTAAGGGTGTGTGGGCTCTAGGATGAAGGTTTTGTGATGCAGGAGCAGGATCTTGGCAAAATGGTACAGGGTATGGGAGAGGGCTCCTGATTTAGGCAAGAGGTTGCGGTGTGGGATCAAATACAGGCTCTGGACTGTGGTTGCAGGCTTCTTGGTTAGGCTAAAATGAGGGGTCTCTGGGCTATTACTGGGGTGTGGGAGGGGATGCTGGTTTTGGGTAGCAGGTGATTGCTGGAAAGTAGTTGACATGTCCCTCTGACTCGTAAGTGTAGGGGTATCTAGGAGTCTGTGTGTGCTGCTCCCACAGCTCCTATTGACTGCAGTTCCTGGCCAATGGGAGCTGCAGAGCTGGTTCTTGGAGCAGGGGAAGCATGCAGAGCCCCATAGTCACCCCATATCTAAGAACAGGAGGGATATATTGCTGCTTCAGGACCTGCTTGGCGTCAGGTAAGGGAGCCTGCCAGCCCCACACCAACAGTATTTTTAACAGCTTGATCAGTGGTGCTGACCGGTGCCACCAAAGTCACTTTTTCCACTAGGCATTCCAGTTGAAAACTGGATGCCTGCCAACTCTGTTATTAGCAGAATTCCCATCAGCTGAAGTGTGAAATGAAAATTACATTATAACATCCAGTAAAGCCTTAGAATTTATAAACTGATGAATTTATTTTGTATGATTCTAAAAATGTTGCTGATGTGGATTATGATTAGCTTGATTTGTACATACAGGTTGAGCCTCCCAAACCCAGGGCTCTCTTGTTCAGTATCTGTGGTCCATGGATGTTGCTTGACCAAAGAGCACTGGAGGCTGCAATGGGAGACAACGTGGGAGCTAGGGAACTCAGGCTGGACCAGCAGCAGCTGTGCCAGACAGCAGCTGGGGGGGTCCCTGACCTGGCTGGGGAACCCCTGATGTCAACAGGGCCAGGCGTGGCTGGGGAGCCCCGCCTCAGCAGGGGGATCCTCGGTGTCAGTTGGGCCAGGCGATTGACAAATTCTGGCCCTAGCTGAAGACTCTCTGGCTGCAGAGGAGAGGGGCTGCAGCAGTGGGAGACCTGGCCAGGGAACCTCTGGCAGCAGCAGGGCCGCTGGTGGCCAGACAGCTTCTGGCAGAACCCCGTGAAACCCCCAGTGGCAGCGGGGCTGGAGTGACTGGGCAGCGCTGGCCGAGAATGCCTCAGCTGAAGCAGGGCTGGTAGAGGCGGGCGGTCCTGCTGGGGAACCCTAGGGAATTGCCAGCCGCAGTGGGGCAACGCTAGCAGAGAGGCGGGTGAGACAAGTGGCCCCTTCCAAGGTACACTGCAGCATCAGGAGTGCAGAAGCTAGGCGATCCCAGCTGGGAACCCGAGGGAACGCTGAGTCAGCCTGCAGGCAGCAGCGTGAGGAACCCCTGCCGAACCAGCATTACCGGGGCCACAGCAGGTCAGGGAGCCCTAAGGAGAGGAGCCTGGGAGTGGGCAGCCAGCAGGGGAGCACTGACCTCTGCTGGTCCAACAAACTCCTTGGTTTGGGACCCCTCAGGTCCTGAGGGTGCTGGACCAGGGAGGTCCATCATGTACTGGGCCAACATTTGTGCTGATGTACATCAAATTCAGTCAGTGGAATTGCATGGGGAATAAATCAACCTAGAATTTGATCAATTTTATGTAGTATGCTATAGAAGCAAAGAAGTTGTAGAATTATGATTACTTTAGCAAGGTTATCCATTTTTACAGATTGTTTTGGCATTTTTACTTTGTGTACTCTAGTAGAGTTGAGGGGTTGTCAGCATCTTGCAAGATTAAACTTATAGGCTCTGAATAGAGCAGAAGTGGTTGTAAATTAACCTTTCTTTCATGTGCATGTCTTTCACTGAAATTAGTCCTAAGAAATAATTGAATCTTTCTCTATATATCTCCTATATAGCCTCATAGCATGTCATATCTCAGTCTGTTTCCCATGTTTCAGTTAGCTCTTCTGCTCCTTCGAGTATACTAAAGGTGGATGCCTACCTACATTTAATAAAAATTCAACCATATTGGAATTTTATTAACTTTAGAACGAATGTGATCTTGGAGGACCAGATATACAAGCAAGTGTTTAATTTAACATTTTTTTTGTTATTAATATTGGACTTACGGCTTGACTTCACGGGGGGAGCCACTGAAAGCTGATTCATTGCATCTGCTTAGGTGCGATAAATTGATCTCTGAGCGCTTTCCCATTGACTCTGGTACTGCCCCAGGACAAGAACAGTAGCCAGAGTCTATGGGAGAGCAACCCCCACTAGGGATATAAAAGAGTAGTCGAGTCGATTCCTTGCATCCCTCCCCCCTCTTCCCAGTGCCTCTATATCAGAGGTGGCAAGGGAGGCAGGGAGCAGGAGCTGGTGCTGGGTGGAGCTGGCTTAAAAGCTGGTTCCCCTCAGCACTATCTCAGCAGTGCATGGGGTGGGGCTGGAGAAGCAGAGGCACAGTGGCACCGTGGTTCTGCCTTTTAAATATAGTACAAGTTGAGTGGCTCTTACTACATTTAAAAGGCAGTGCCACAGTGGCCTGGACCTGGCACCAGGGCCCTGACCTACCTTCACTGCAGCACTGCAGTTTAAATGTAGTAGGAGCCAGGCTGCCTGCACGCTCGGATCCCAATACATTTAAATTGCAGAGCCCCAGAAGCCCCTTATCAACTAATCATGTACTTGATACAAATTGTATCACGTACAGGATTAGTCATTTACTGTCTACTTAATATCCTTAGCTTCCACTAACTGTAATGAATAGAAAACAACTGGTGAAGTATGGCACCTTCAGCTACACTATTTGCATAGCTAAAGCTGCTTAGATCAGATTACTGTGGGAGGGAGGGAGGTGAGGGGGTTATTAGTGTAGACAAGGCCTTAGCCTCCAAAGCAAAGAAGAGGAGTATAGATTAAGTGCTATGTTAAAGATGCTAGATTGACAAGACTGATGTCCTTTAGCTCTGGAACAAGAATGGCATAGACAACAGCCATGAAAGCTTCCACATGATGTTCAACCAATGTGACTCAACCCTCTTCAAGAGAGATCACCCTTTTGGATAAATGGGTACAGTGTCTGTGGCCTGGTCAAAAGTGTGCCCTTTGCTAATGTTTCTAATTATGCTAGTTAGTTCCTCACTAAGAAGATCTGCAAAAATGGAAGACACTTCGGTTAAATAAGTTTATCAATTAACAATTTGACTTAATTTGAACCCACCAATTAGAGATGAGAACTATCCAGTTACCAGTTCCTAGAACCAGGTAGTTCTCATAATGCAAATAAATTAAAAGCTATAGAACATAACATACTGAATCTACAGTGGAACTGGGTGCTACAGTTTGATAGATGTTCTGTGGAAAAAAGCATTGTCTTTATAGCTTTGTACATTAGTCTTTAAAATTTCTGCATGCATTGAAACTCACTTGGTTATTTAACTCTACATCTATTTTTTTCCCTGCTAAGTCTACTTCAAATTACCATGCTAGGAGATTTGGTGTACGTGCAGCCATGCCTGGATTTATTGCAAAGAAACTATGCCCACATCTTACTATAGTGCCATTAAACTTCAAAAAGTATGAAGAAGTAAGTAAACAGGTAAGTACTCAACAAGAACATCTCTCTAGCCAATAGTGGTAAATGGTTGTTTTTTTTTCTCCAGTCAATAGTAAATCAAAACTTGTACGTAGGATTCTAAAGGTTAAACTTTTCAAAACATGGTTTTGAATGTAAATTAAATATTGCATTTAAATTAATGTTTTCAGGCAGTAGGAGCAAATTCATCCCTGATCTGTTTCCATTAATAGAGATAAGGTAATAGAGGTTTTCAAACTTAGGTAATGAACAGATGATGGTGTTATGCTGGTAAATTCAAAACCATTGCATGTAGTCTAATAATTAGGAAACTAGGTGTAACTTAGAGATATAATAATGTAGTCGATTAATCGATAAGCAAAAGCTTATAGGTTAATGCTACAGACTACCTGCATTTCTCCTCCACCCCCCTTTGCTAGTAAATTTTTTAGCAGGCTGGCCAGCAGCTCGACTCAGTCCTGGCTTGCACCAGGTCTGGGACCTATCCCTGCTGCGGCTCTGCATTTCAAGTTTATTAGGAGCCAGGTGGGCAGGCGGCCCGGCTCAGTTCTGGCTCACGCGGGGTCAGGGAATTCAGCCCCACCTTTCCCCTGGGACAGAGGCTGCTGCCACCCTGCACTGTACAGCAGTGCAGGGTGACAGGCAGCTGGTCTGCGAGGGGAGCTGGTTTTTAAACTGGCTTCCCTTGTGGACCAACTCCCACCTGGCACCCCATGCTGCTGTCTCTGATCAAGAGACAGTAGTGTGGAGTGGCAGGGAGCTCCTTGGGAACGCGGATGGAGAGCACTGGCTGCTGGTCTCTTCCCCAGGGACTACAGAATAGTTGACTAACCAATAAAAATTAATTATGTTAATCGACTGTTCAATTAACCGATATTTAACATCCCTAGTATTAATAGGGAGTGCAGAGAGAATTACTTCATACCATAATAATCATATGGAATGCTAATTGCCTGGGAGAGAGATTGTATCAAAGAGTATTAATTATCTCAAAAGACGTCTACATTTGTTTCCAGAAAATGAATGGACTGAGGAGTAAAATGGAAAAAATTAAGGAGGGAAGAAAGATGATTACTATTTCCTATCTTTAAAAAGTATGGTACATTTCTTTTCATTAAGGAAAAAATCCATTCAATTAACACATTACGATGAACAACTATATATATTTAAATACTTTTTGTTTTCTTAAGGTTCCTCACCCCTGCTTTAAGCCCTGAGTCTTGGGTCCCTTTCTGAAAATTCCCATTTCTTCTCATTTGTTGTGGTTGCTTTTATTACATTTATGACATTTTTACTCAGACCTGAATGAAAATAGCACACTGATTTCACATTAGCAAACAAAACTTGTTGGAAAGTCTATGTTCTTTGAGTGGTCCCCGTGGGTGTTCTACTCCTAGGTGTCAGGCTTGTCCTGGCGCCGCTGGTTGGAGATTTTCAATAGCCGCACTTGGCCAGACTGCACATGCGCAGTCAGTGTCTCACACCGTTTGCACCTTTCCGTTGTCGCACGCGGTCCAGCTCCCACCAGTTCCTCTCAACCATCCTCAGTTGCTGGCGGAGCTCCCCTCTTCTCCTCAGTCAGAGCGACCTTGACCTGTTAAAAGTTATAAATTAGTTAGGTTAGTTATATCATGTTGGTTACAGTTCTTATTGTTGTTCATAGTTTAAAAAAAAATAAGTAGTTTAATAATAGTTAGAGATTATAGTTAATTCCTTGTTTTCATTCCGGGCTCTGGCACCTTCCTGGACCCCACCAGGCCTGGCTCACCAGGTTTTAAAAAGTGCTCCCTTTGTTGGGAGGCTAGGCCGGCCTCGGACGGCTATGCAGTGGGCATTCATTGCCTTGGGGAAGCGCATATTCCCCAAAAGTGTGCCCACTGTTCCACGCTCACAGCAAGAGCACACAGGGGACAGGGAAATGCGCCTGAAAATGATCCTCTTTGACAAGGCCCTGCAGCCTTAAGTGGCACTCCACCCTTGCCCTCTGACACGGCTGTGGTGCAGAAACGAAGAGTGTCGTCCCCCGGGGTGATAGTTCCGAAGAAAATACGAGCTTCCCCCGCATGCTCTTTACCAGCTGCTCCTAGGACAAGAGTCAGCAAGGGGGATAAGCCAGGCACATTGGGTACCACCCCTCTAGCCTCCGGGACCATCATGCCGTGCATTTCAAAAAATACCAGCCATGCCAGCACCGACAGTGCTCACCACATCGGCACCGAACTCAGCGTCGGCATCGAAGGCCGCACATAAACAGGCATCGGCACTGCCAGAACAGCCATCTCCAGCGCCATCAACGTCCGCACCAGAGGCATTGGAACAGGAGCCAACATAAGCACCGACTCCACCATGCGCAATGGCGCCGACTCCACCTGGCACACCAGCACCGCAGATTGAGGAACTGCCGCAGAGCTCGGCACCGAGACAATCGGATATCAGAATAGAACAAGAAGACTCAGATAGCGGCACCATCTCGGTACCGACGAAAGCCACTCGGAAGTTTATAACATGCCTTCCATCGCTCTCTCCATCCCCAGCTTTCTCTCTGGCATCGTCCCCCTCACTGCCGGTGCACCGCTCCCCTAGACAGACAAGACAGCAGCCCGGCCTTACCAGACAATCATACTCACTGCATCGTAGCCCTAGATCACCCCAGCGACAGTCTGTGCATGATTATAGTTCACATCCGCACAGACACACCCGCACAGACACGCTCACCTCACAGGAGCCACTTTCCGAGTCGCTCCCCCTTCACAAGCTACTATAGCAGGCATGGTAGCTTATGCTCATCAAGAAGATCCTCACCAGTTTACTCTGAAGGATATTACAGCCGCTATCACAGATTGCACCAGCATCACAGAGCTCGCTCTTACGCCAGGTCATCATGCTGCTGCCACTCCCCACGATATCGGCACTCCTCATTGGCGACACATGTACAGCATAAAGAGCAACCAACGGTATCGCCTCCCAACATCCCTCCGACACAAGCACACCAATCAGAGTTAGAGGAGGGGCAGATATCTGACAGTGACAACCAACCTCAAGCAACCCCACCCTCCGGCAGCATCACCAATCCCTGTAGAGGACACGGCTTCAATTCAGACCCATGAGGGACAGCAGGACAACCACACTCCAACTCGGGAACTTCAGAGTCCTGATTCTCCTGCTAACCACTCGTCTTCATCACCAGATGACGCAGTTTTCCCTGGGGATCTATCTCCAACAGAAGACCATAATCAGTTTCAAGAACTTTTTAAGAGGGTTGCTCAGTCTCAGGAAGTGCAGCTGGCGGAAGTGCAGTCCAAACAGTACCGTCTGCTGAAAACGATCACAGCAACGATCCAAAATCACACTTCCCAGAGATGAAGCAATCATGGAGGCCACAGAGGAAATTTGGCAAACACCAGCGTCGACGACACCAATGAGCAAACGGGCTAATAGGAAATACTTCATACCATCAAAGGGACTCAAATTCCTATTCAACCACCCATAACCTAATTCCCTAGTAGTGGACGCGGCACAACAAAGAGCTAAGACTCCGCAATAATCACACTTCCCAGAGATGAAGCAATCATGGAGGCCACAGAGGAAATTTGGCAAACACCAGCGTCGACGACACCAATGAGCAAACGGGCTAATAGGAAATACTTCATACCATCAAAGGGACTCAAATTCCTATTCAACCACCCATAACCTAATTCCCTAGTAGTGGACGCGGCACAACAAAGAGCTAAGACTCCGCAATCTAAGAGCACAGGAGCGGATAAAGATGCCAAAAGGAAAGTGTACTCATCCTCTAACCTACTCCTCCGCATCGCAAATTACGCCTCCCTGCTCTTGAACCATAATTTTCACATTATGTGAAATTAATCAATCTCGCGCAGTATCTTCCGGAATCCAAAAAGCCACTTTTGAAGGCAGTGGTCCAACAGGGATATACTTCCTTGAGGGCAGGGCTTCAGATAGCGATGGATGTCTCAGATATGGCCGCACAATCCAAGGCCACCTCGATCTCCAGGATGAGAGCTTCTTGGTTAGCCACAGCGGAAGTCCCCAAGGAGTTGCAGGGTAAAGTGGAGGATCTCCCGTTTGACAAACGTAAACTCTTCGCGGATAAGATGGATGAGGTCCTACACTCCGGAAAAGATTCCTGTATGACCATCTCGGGATGTACACTCCACCCTTTTGATGCAAGCAGTATTACCCATACCAGAGGAGGTACCAATACCAGTTTCAGAGACAACAGCAGCAGGCAGATGAGCAAGGGCTTTCCAAACAACCACAACAAAGGTACCCTCAACCAGCACGCATGGTCAATCCATCATCGTCAAAGCAGCAGGTTTGACTCCTTGGTCAAGGGTATACCAACATCAAACATTGTCAAAAACCGCACCAACATCATCATCTTCTGTGCTCCTTTTACCACCAGTGGGCCACTATAACATCCGACAGATGGGTGCTGGAACGCGTACGATCGGAACTCACAATCCCCTTTACCTCTCTCCCTCCCATCAACCCCGTCCCTCTTCAGGGACCCATCTCACAAGGACTTCTTATGCCAAAAGGCTCACTGCCTTCTCACCATTGGGGCGTTAGAGAGGGTCCCAGATCAATTCAGAGGAAAAGGGTTTTACTCTCGCTACTTTCTAAGGCAAAAGAAAACGGGGGGGATGGAGGCCAATCTATCTGCAGGGATTGAACCGATATCTTCGAAAACAGCGGTTCAAACTGGTGACACTTACCACCATAATCCCATCACTCGACAACGACAACTGGTTTGCAGCCCTCGACCTGCAAGATGCGTACTTCCACATTGCCATCCACCCAGTGCACAGGCGATTCCTTCACTTTGTAATAGGAAACGATCACTTCCAATACTGAGTGCTACTGTTTGACGTAGCATTGGCCCGCAGGGCCACTGTCTAAATGTCATCTCATTCCTTTACCTCGACGACTGCCTAATAAAAGGCATACCACGGCAGGAGACCTCCCAGATGGTGATGCTAGACAAGCAGACTCTCAACACTTTGGGCCTCATAGTAATTGAGCAGAAGTCCATTTTAGATCCGACTCAAAGCATGAAGTCGATAGGCGCCATGATCAACTCTCTCGCTGCAAGAGCGTACTTACCAATAGAAAGATTTCAAGCAATTCAGGGCCTCATACATGTGCTCGCCAATGCCCCCACAATCTCAGTGTACACCTGCCTAAAGTTGCTCTGTCACATGGCTGCTACTTGCTACCTTTGTCTTGCTTCATTCACAACTTCACTTTCGGTGCCTACAATACTGGCTAGCAACCATGTATGTACCCATAAAACACAGCATTCAGAAAATAGTAGCACCTCCTGCATACGTCCGAAGATCCCTCTGATGGTGAACGAAAGCACACAACCTCATGGCGGGAGGTCCATTCCATCAGCCGCAACCGTCCAGCCAGATAACGACAGACGCCTCCCTCATTGGGTAGGACGCACACGTGAACGGAATGAAGGTGCAGGGCACATGGTTGAATGTCGAAAGGCGTCTGCATATAAACCTCCTAGAACTGAGGGCTGTGTTCCGTGCATGCAAACACTTCCTCCCGCACATAATGGGCACTACTGTCAGAGTACTGATGGACAATGTTGCCACGACTTATTACATCAACCAGCAGGGAGAAGCAAGGTCACGCTCCCTATGTGCAGAAGCAGTGCAACTTTGGAATTGGTGCATTCAAAACAACATCACCATCACAGCATCTTACTTATCTGGCACCAGCAATGTGATTTCAGACTCTCTCAGCAGGCAATTCCCACTGGACCATGAGTGGGAAGTAAGAACAGACATCATTCAACGTGTCTTTCACATGTGGGGAACACCCGTGGTGGATCTGTTTGCCACTCTGCACAACAGGAAATGTTGACTTTTTGTTTGTTTGTTTGTTTTTGCTCCAGGGTGGGTATTGACAAGGGATCACTCGGGAATGCTTTTCTAGTCAGTTGGAGGAGGGCACTCCTCTACGCATTTCAGCCAACAGTCCTCATACCCAGAATATTGGAAAAAATCAAGGTGGAATTGGCGCAGGTTACTCTGTTGGTCCCAGCCTGGGCGAGACAACTATGGTACCTGTTTCTCCACAACATGTCAGTGGTGCCACCTTACCCACTTCCCTTTCTTCCAGATCTTCGTTCGCAGAATCACGGCTCTCTCCTTCATCCCAAACCAGAGTATCAGCACCTGACTGATTGGCTCAAGACAGGTGAACACCTTTGCTTGGAACAAGTAAAAAACATCCTAATGCACAGCAGAAAATCATCCACTCAGAGTACTTACCCTGCAAAATGGTGCAGGTATACGCAATGGTGCTCCTGCGACCAGATGGAACCCGATGGCTCTCCTCTACACCATATTCTTGATTATGTCTTCCATCTGCAGTACTCGGGACTTTCTATCTCATCTCTGAAAGTGCATTTGGCAGCTGTTAGTGCTCTTCATCATCCCATAGAGGGACTTTCAATATTTTCCCACCCTGCCACCAAAAGTTTCCTGAAAGGCCTGACAAACCTTCATCCCCCTCGTAGACCACCCCCCGTGGAATCTCAATTTAGTGCTCGATGCCATTATTTATCCTCCGTTTGAACTACTAGCAACCATATCTCTCCAAATGTTGACTGGGAAAGTAGTTTTTCTACTGGCGATTACATCAGCGCGCAGAGCCAGCTAATTGGCCGCACTGATGGCACCTCCACCATTTACATCATTTTCTAAAGACTCGGTCACGTTGCATTTTCACCCAGCCTTTACTCCTAAAGTCTGCTCGTTGTTTCATATTAATAAGCCCATTGTACTCCCATCCTTTTATCCCAAGCCTCATCCATCACAGAGAAAAGCTTTACTACACACTCTCGACGTGCACTGAGCACTTTCTTTTTACATCAATAGAACTCAACAATGGTGCAAGACAGAGAGGCTAATAGTGTCGATTGCGGAGTGGTCCAAGAGCAATGCGCTCTCCAGCCAACCTATTGAAAGACTCATAGGCTCGTGTATCACCACCTGTAACTCTATTAGAAATAGGTCCCTTCTCTCACAACTGAAAGCTCACTCCATGAGAGTGGTAGCGACTTCCACAGCCTTCACTCGGGGAGTCCCACTGAGCGATATTTGCCGGTTGGCCACCTGGGCTTCCAGCACTGTGCTCATGGGGCATTACGCAAGAGTGTAACGTCTAGCTGTGGACTCAATGGTTGTCTCAGCAGTACTGTCAGTCGCAAATAAACATTGATCTGGAGCACATACTGGCTAATGCTCTACAGTCACCTAGAGTGGAGTACCCACAGGGACCACTTGAAGAAGAACAGAAAGTTACTCACCTTTGTGCAGTAACGATGGTTCTTTGAGATGTGTCCCCATGGATGCGCCATGTCCTGCCCTCCTCCCCGCTCCGGGGCTTGTTCATTTCTCATTTCAGATACCGAGTGGTGAGAGGAACTGGTGGGAGCTGGACCGCACGTGACAACGGAAAGGCACGATACACTGACTGCATATGCGCAGTCCGGCTGACTACAGCTATTGAAAACCTCGAACCAGCGGTGCTGGGACGAGCCCGACATCTAGAGTGGAGAACCCATGGGGACACATCTCGAAGAACCACTGTTACTGCACAAAGGTTACTTCCTGTTTTTAGTCACTTTCAAGAAGAGGAATGACTCATGACTATCCTTAAAGATTTAAATCACAAAATTTGATTCAAATTCTCGTTTTATAGTGAAAATGAAATATTTTAAACTACAAAAATAAGCATCAGAATTGTATTTTTATCATTTACTCTAAGATGTTGCTATTTGCATATCATAAGAACTTCAAATATTTAAACCAGACATGACCACTGTGAGTGGTTTGGGGAGATAAAGATCTGATAGACGTAAATGGGTTTTAAGGTCAAACTCATCTCCATTAAATAAATAGAAAATTCCTTTAATACAAGGAAATGTCATAATCCGATTTAAAAACAGTACTTTTACATACTAGTTCTGTAAGGAGAGGCTATTTTACATACAGGCAGTTTCCGGGTTACGTACAAGATAGGGACTGTAGGTTTGTTCTTAAGTTGAATCTGTATGTAAGTCGGAACTGGTGTCCAGATTCAGCCGCTGCTGAAACTGATCAGTTTCAACAGCGGCT